GATCAAAGAAATCAGGAGTACAACAAACAGAAACTTCACAAATGGGAAACAGGAATAAAACTGAAGTACAAACTGACTTTCCACAGTAGAACAACAGACAGACTGACAAAGACAAGTGGGAGTGGGTTGATTGAACACCAGTGAAATGTATTAGGACGGGGCAGACAATCAACAAGGAGGGAAACACAAGACAAAGACCGGAAGTGAAAACACAGTGGACACACAAAGAACTCTATTACAAAATAAAAAAGAAAATGAATCAAATGGTCAAATCAGGGAAAAATCTTTCTCAATGAGAGGGTGAATGAGAGAATAGATACATCCTTGACTTGGGGGGACCAGGTGGGACCACATGTCCATCCCTGTCTACTACATGTTACACTTTTTCAGCAAGAGGCCTGAGTGAGGGAGGTGGTGAGGTACTGAGCAGAGGAGGTGGTGTTTCCTTGTTGTCTCTGGGAGGTTCAGAGAACAACATAGACAAGTGTGAAAAACAGTGATTTGATTGTGTCTGTGGCCTGTGTGTCTTCTTGGTTTGTACTGTGAGAGGTATGAAGGCAATCAGACACATTATATAATATTCTGCCCTTTGTCTGTCGTTTTCCTTCTCTCTCTCCATCTTCCTCCACCTCTCTCACCCCCCCCCCACTCCACTTTCCTGCTGAATAATCTGAATATATTTCCATGTCATTTTTTCCTATGTTCACCACCTCTCCTTTCTGTCTTTTTATCAGTTGTTTCTCTTCTTAGAAGAGTCCTACACACACACACACACACACACACACACACACACACACACACACATACACACACACAAACACACACACACACACTTAGAAGTCCTCTGTTATTCTCAGAAGGACTGTCTGACAGGCAACCTCAGGGGCTCTCTTCATTTTTGCTTCCGTCTCTTGTGTGTCTGATAGGAGCACATCAAACCTCCTCTTTCATTCAAACAGTCTCTTATGTCTCTCTGTATGTCTGTATCTGTATCTGTTAGCAGGCGTTCAGACCAAAGAGAACTGCATTCAAGAAATGCAGGAACCTGTGCTGTTGTGTGTGTATTGATCCAGGTACGAGTAACAAGATTAAATGTAATCCAGGAAGGCCAGTTAGAGTACTGACTGACTGACTGACTGACTGACTGACTGACTGAATGACTGACTGACTGAATGAATGGATGTTATTGGTCACTAAAACAAAGGTTCATTATACAGAGACAGGACTGTGTAAAGTTCTCACTGACAGTCACTAGAAGAATGTCTGACCTTTCTTCAAATTATTTCAATTTTCCATATAAAAATAATCAGAATTCAGAGCACTCTTATAATGCAATGTCAAACAAACAAACTTCCTTATTTCTATTTCCACACTGACAGAAATGCCCTCAGACAGGACATTACTCATGCAACATCATTTTTAAACAATTTTTTAAATGTTTTAATTTTTAGTGCAAGTTTTGGAAAAACACTGGATATTTAGTCAGTTTGGGTCCAATAATCACAAAATGTTTCAAATCAATGCAGTTGTCATTTGTCGTCCAGTGCCCATATTGTTTAAATAGCAAATATATTTGTGTCCATCTGAGCACCCGTGGGTGTTTTGGTCTTAAAATGAGGTGGTCAGCATTGTTGTTGCTTTGTTATTTTGAGGCAGCAGAAAGCGATTAACCAGTAAAAACCTGGTCTGAAGTTATTTTAAGTATGCAGCCTAACATAACTGTACCACTGTTGGCATTGTGTAGTGGTTCTAGAGTACCATTACCATAGACTGCAAATAAAGATGGACGTAGCCTCTGTGTCGGCATTCCCAGGTTCCTGAAGAGCAGTTTTGAAGCTCAGAGTGAGCTGCTCCACTGTCACCAGCTTGGCAGTGCCTGCCCTCAATTATACACAACTCTAATCCTTAATAAAATGTAAACAGGTGAGTTATATAAACAGTCGTCATGAAGGAGAAAATTAGCTCAACAGACCAAAACTGTTTTTGTACCAGGCTGTAAACATGTTTATTTCTGCTGTAAAGTTGGACATTTTAACATGGGAGTAGTAGAGTAGAGTAGTAGAGTAGTAAATACATATCTTAGCTGCATGTCACCACATCAGAGTTAGTTTCTCCAGCTTGAAGTTAATAAATATATCAATATAATTTGATCAAAGTGTCTCATTAAAATCTGATCAGATCAGTCCCTTCCATTGATTAGTTTACAAACAGTGTTAGATGGTAAATGGACTACTCTTACACATATATACATATAGCCGTGAAGTTGTCAATGCGAGCAACTTGAGGTTCAGTGTCTTGCCCAAAGACACTTTGGCACTAGGACAGGAGGAGCTGGGGATCAAACCACCAACTCTGCACTCAGTAGACAACCTGCTCTACACCTGAGCCCCAACCAAAGATAAAGAGACAGAACATGTGAGAGAGAGCAATAAAAAGTTAGCCTGCTATTGCTGTGCCAGACAGGAAGTCAGTTTTGCTGAGGAACACAGCATGAGCTCTGATTGGACGTTACATAACAAACACTGACTTTGATGGCTGACAGGAAGCAGGAGGATGAAAGGATGAAACGTTGTCCTCCCTCTAAATGTTTCCTGTTAGGCCTGAGATGTAAACCTGAGAAAAAGTGTGTGTGTGCGCATCTCTTTCATTATGTGTGTGTGTCTGTGTTATCTGTATGTGTGCCTGTTGTTACAGTGTGTATGTGTGTGTGGGTGGGTGTGGTGTGGTGTGAATATGAAGTATGTTGCAGCTGATGTTTAAATCTTGACAAGCAGCATCTCATTTCCATATCTTCATCTTCAACAACACTCAGTGTCTCTGAAGGAGGAAAGACGCAAATTCAAACAGAGAGAGAATAAATTAGTTTTATCTGCAGGTTCAGCTGTAAACTCACATAGACCACACATCACATTATGCATTAAACAGACAGTTGCACTATATACGAATTTTAATCTTTAGTTAAGCTTAGTTTTTTCAGGAACTTCTAGTTGGCAGCACAAAAGTGGCATTTAGAAAAATAGAACAAACAAGACAAACAAAACACATTTACTACTATGACAACACAAAACACTTGGTCCATACAGTCTAAAGGTCTCTGTCCATGTGTAGTGTGATTATAGATCAGGTCTAGGTTCTATATTAATACTGTGAAAGTATCAAAGCCTCAGTCCACAGAGAAATACACACAGCCTGTATTCAGAAACTGAGCCTTAAAACCAGCCGTCAGGACTTCTGGAACTTTGTCTATCTATGTCACAGCAAAGCAGCCACCAAGCTCCACCCACCTGCACCCACCATCCAACCTTGCAGGATTTGGTTTCTCTGAGTGTTTACCTGAAATCTGCTATATTATTATTGGATCACTCAGAAAACAGTCAGCCAATCAGAAGAGAGGCTCAGAGCCTCCTCTCTCATGATTGGCTCACTGATCTAGAGAGATGTAAAACTACACTAAGATGGTTTTTGGTTCTTAAAACTACAAATACATCTTCTTATGGATCAACACTTCAAATAAAACACAGGAGAAGAGGAAAAAATGGAGCTTTTAAAAAGTAACTTGAGTGACAGTTGACAGATTGTTATCTGATACCAGCTTCACAAATATGAGGATTCACCATCTTCACAGTTTTCTATGAAAGAAAACCTAAAAATTTGACTCAATTTAAACTGAAACAGTTATGGTCTTCAAATTGGATGTTGACATAGGCTTCCTCTACAACACGCCTATTCAACTGGCTGCCAACCCCAACCCATCAATCATGTCCAACCGGCCCGCCGATCAATTGTTTAATTACAATTATATTTCTGCTACAATAAATCCTCTAGACCACAGACAGACTCTAACAATGCAGCAGCCTTCTTGGTAAACAGTTTCACTAGTCCCAGGCAGTGACCGCAGTGTCTGTTGTCAATATGTTCCAAACTTTCAATTACAATTTGTGGTGTATGTAGGGATGGTACTGCAACCTGGTGGCCGTATTATCAATAATGTCAGATGTGTCTCTCTCTTTCTCCCTCTCTCTCTCTCCCTCTCTCTCTCTCTCTCTCTCTCTCGCCTGTGTTTGTGAGGGGTGGCACCATGCAGCACACACACACAGACACAGAGATGCTGTTCTTAGTGACAATGGCGGAAGGAATTAAAGTGTTTTGCATGTAAGAGCGGAAACACGAGCGATCTCTGGAGTTTTCGAGCGACAGAGCATCATCTGAACTGTTCAGAAATTCAGTTTCATGTCCAGGTCACTCAGAGCAGGGGGGGGTTAGTGATGTTGGGGCTGCTGGCATCCCTAGTTGTGTGGCATCAAATGTACAGGCAAGTTCACTTCATCTTGAACTTTTTAATTCTCATTGCTCTCTTCTGTTGTTTCTGTTGTTTGCCTCACTTAAAAAAAATGCTGTGACATAGCTTTGTAAGAGATGTCAGAATTAATCAAATAATATGACAGCTGACATGATGTGTTCTAGAAAACTGTGTGTACTTTTGTTAATATCGCAGCACAGAAAATCAAATGTGGTGAAAATGTGGTGCCATGTTGTGTGAAGTGTACAGAATAGCTCAGGTAAATGTCTGGCCCCTCGGCCCTTAGTTCTCAGGAAATGTGGCCCCCTGAGAAACATAGTTGAATAGCCATGCTCTACAGGATGGAGGGTCGACCCGTCATAGTCAACGTTCTACAACAAGTGTGTGATTAATCCAACTATTGATGACTGCTGCACCATAGTGGATTTAGACCCACTGCTGGACCTGCTTCTTATTAGGCTGTATGAGTCCACTTTATGGGTTTGACAACCTGCAGGTGATGTTGCCTCCTTCCCCTCAGTGAAACACACATGAACAGCTTGTACTACAGGTGGAGTCCTGTCTGACAGACAACATGTGGAATCCAGGCTCGAGCAGACGACTGCTGCACACCTCAGCCTGTGTCAGCTCTCCTCCTCCTCTGTCTCCAAGTGTTCGGCTGAAACCTGTTAAAGATCTTCCTTTTTTTTTTTCCTTGCAGGAGAACCACACAAGTTTGATCCGTCCTTCCGAGGTCCAGTCTGCAGAAGGTAACTCCGAACCTCCTTCTTTACATGTGAAGCAGCAGAGATTCTGTAGTCTTAGACAGCTAACTTCACTTGTGTTTCCAACATCACACCTCAACATCTAAATAATGGGGAAACTAAGGGCCCTATTTTACACCCAGTGCAAAACAGCACAGCACAAGTGTCTTTGCTAGTTTCAGACTGACACAGCTGTTATTTTGTGCCTCTGTCTGTCGCGGGCACAGAGGCATTTTGATTTTGGGATGTCCGTACATCTGTCCCGTTCTCGTGGACACGATATCTCAGTAACACCTTGACGGAATCCCTTCAAATTTAGCACAAATATTCACTTGGACTCAAGGAAGAACTGATTAGATTTTGGTGGTCAAAGGTCAAAGGTTGATGTGACCTCACAAAATACTTTTTAGTCATTGCTGAAAACTTGAAACAGCAACTTTAACAGGATTTCACACAATTGGATCATATTTTCTGTGACTCTGGATAAACAGGGATGTAACCTGAAACTAGTCTGAGTGGAGGAGGCAGACGACCACCAGGAGGTGAGTCTAGTTTAAATAGCAAATACCCTTGTGCCCATCTGAGCGCCCATAGTTGTGTTTTTAAAGGGAATGGGAGCTGCACTCTGATTGGTTTATTGTATGTTACACCTAAAACACTCCCATGAGTGACTCCCATGACTTCCAATAGAGACTTAGTACAACCCTTTGGAACCGTGCGGCTGGAGCAGCAACTGTTCCGCCATTAAAATAGCAAAATGCACTTGCACCATGAGCTTTGGACCAGTAACATAGAGCCTTAAATCTCCTCTACATGCTCCTCTTTCCGGTGAGTGAGAAACAAAACTGTGCGTCACAGCTGACATGTGGTCGCAGTGGTCCAGACAGTCTCTCCCCTGCTGAGTCTCAGCTGGTTAAAACTTTGGTAACACTTTATAATGATAACATTAATTCATAAGTCATTTATAAACCCTTAGTTAATGATGAACTAATCACTCCCAAAACAATGATTAGTAAGTGCTGTGTTAACATGTAACAAATGTGTTGTAAATCATAATTTCCAGATTATTGGAGCTGACGGCAACTATCACTGAACTTTACTGTAAGTGCAATAAAAAGTAAAAAGCCAATAAGAGCTTTATCAAACCACCTGTTCACCAAGCAACAAATTTTCATCTATTTTGTCCACTGTGTCCCAGTGTCTTTTACACAACATAATGCTGGTTAAGCTAATAGCGAATTGTTATGCCCCCCATTATAAGATAACACGAGTCAACACAAACTGTTTTAGTGCAGCATATAAAAAGAACTCGTTGACTTTTGTCTTGAAGATTTCTCCAACGTGATTTAACAGCTGGGATTAATCACCACACTGACCAGGACACAGAGAGAGAGAACCCTTCTACTGCTCTGTAAACAGGCTGTCAGTCATCTCCACTGTTTGTTTCTACTTTCATTCAAAGACAGAAACTGGACGTCGCTCAACTCTGTCTCCTAGAAATGACATTCATAGACTACTGAACTGTTTCCCATTTACACTGTGATATAAACATAATTGCTGGTGGTTTAGTCCTGGGCTGATATTCAATAATATTAAATATTGCAATATTTTCCTCCATATGCAATATTTTTCTTAATTATTAATTACAATAATGTAAGTATATATTATAGAAAAGAACAACTGAAACCTAAAATCCAACAATATAATATATTGTATGTCATGATATTTGAGCTGGACTGTATTGAGGTATTAAATTTGGATATTGCTCAAACCTAGTCTGGGTTACATGGTTTTCTTTTAATGAATGAATGAATGAAGCTGCATGTATTAACAGCAGTGGAGGCCTGTACTATGAAGTAGGACTCTGGGTTTTCATTTCTTATGGGGGTAAATCGCCATGGTAACAGGCACAGGTTAACTTCAGTGGATCAGATCAAAATCTGTCAACAGCTATACTACTGACCAATCAGATTCCTGGAAAAACTGAATCATCAGTCCTACAAGATCCTAACAGGGACAAAAGAGTTTACAATAAAGTGATCAATAATAAAAATCAGTAGATATTTGTATAGATCAGTGGATGTTTTGCTGTTCGAGTCTTTCCATGTGTCACTCTGGTTTTACATTTTCAACTTTTTTTTCTGCTTCATCAGTTTGTTCATCATCAGACAAAAGAGGAAAATACTCAGTGAGGAACTTAATAATTCATGCACTTATTTACAATACATCCTTAGTCTGACTTTAATCATTGGAAACTATTTCTAGTGTTTCTTTTTTTTTCAGTCATGTGATCATTAATTATCATGACCATCAGATTGCATTTAGTTGAGTATCACCACTGATGTGGCTATAACTGAATTCACCTGCAGGTATCAGTGTTTCTTCTCATATCACATTAAGAACTTTATTCATGGTTCTGATGATGTTGCTTATAATTAACAACTCCGCCTCTTTCACATGAGCCAGCTTGCAGTGGGACAGGAAAGCCCAGTTGATAACCAGCTTCTTAGTTTAGGTTATCCAGGAGGGCTGATTTTAGGTTAAGTTAAGCAGGATGGCAAAATGTTATCCTGGATATGTTGAACTTCGTAGTGCAGGCTTCTGGAGGAGGTTGGGTTGGATGACAGGAATACACAGCACACATCCACAGACCAGAGATCAGATATTTAACTTCAGTTGCCAAATTCATAAATTAACAACATCCCCTCATTATGTTTGAAGCAAAATTAAACCAGTTACAGTTAAAAACATATTGTTAAATGTGGCCCTGAGGACAGAGCCTGATGTCACTGTGACACTGTCTAATAGAGGCCGGTTACCGCACGGACTCATAGATGTTATGTTTAAAACCTGCACATCACATTATTTCAGCTGCACCACTAAATAAAATCTTTTTGTGTTTGTTTGTTGCTTGTGTGGTCATGAATATTTAATATTATAGAGACCTACAGAGAGACAATATGAGTTTTCAGAGTCTTTTTTAACGGATTGTTCCACTGACTGTCATCATGCTTTCGCTCATGTCTAATTCCACTGATACAACATGCAACTTTAAGGGCTGCAGTTCAGATATTTACTGTTTAACCTCATAGACACAGATTATAAAAACTTTAAGAGCCAAACACACAGGATTCTACACTTCTGTAACCTGCCTCTCAAAATCCACACCCTGAGTTTGTACCTCAGGCTTTGTCTCCACAGCCAGGAGGAGGTAACCATGACGATGTCACCAGAAAATGCTGTAAATATTATTCCTGAGGGAACATAAAGTTTTAGCAGGATTTAGATTACTTCCTGGTGAATGAATCTGTAGTGCAGTGAAAGTAGAAATCTGACTTCAGTCCTCACAGTAATTATCTTCCACACACAACACACAGATACAATGTGGTAACTGCTCACACACACATTTACATACACACATATATAATTTCCATCTATAATTGCATCTCTTCGGCTGTGTGACTGGGAGGAAATCTGCAGTTTAATTCCACCCCTGGTCTTTTCCTCTCTCCCTCTTCTTCATTAAACTCAAAGCTCTCTCGCCCGACCCACACACTCTTTTATTTCTTTATCTTGCCCTCTGCAGGGCCGGAGGCAGGGGTAATTAATGAACAAGCTTTCTTTACAGTAGCAACAAATGTATTATCTGTCATGTTTTCTCCTCATGATGACGTTCAGCTAAAGTCACACTTTTGTGTGTGTGTGTGTGTGTGTGTGTGTGTGTGTGTGTGTGTGTGTGTGTGTGTGCATGTGTGTGTATGCATGTGTGTGTGTGTTGTGTACAGTGACGATGAGGCAGAACAGTTTTCATAGTGTTTAATGAATTCTGCTGCTGTGGTTTACGTCTCATTTCTTCTTCTGTCTCTTTAGAAGCTGCACTGATGTCTTATGTTGTTTGATCTTCATCATTGTCATCCTCTCGTATGTGGCCCTGGGGATAGTGGGTGAGTCAACACACACAGCACACACACACACACTCTGGGGGGTATGTAGGTATGTATGTGTCTGTGTGTATGTGGTGTCCTAATGAAGTCATGTCCATCATCACTTAGTTTGTCATGAACTGACATCGTGACCAATAACGTTAAAAGGCCACACACACACACACACACACACACACACACACACACACACACACACACACACACACACAGTGCCTCTTTGATCAATGTGTTCTCTAGTGAATATAAACACACATATGGGCTTTGTTGTTTCCTCTTGATCTCTCTCACTCTACACACACGCACACACACACACACACACACACACACACACACACACACACACACACACCATCATACTACCAGTGTGTCTGTGTGCACTTACAGAGCAGCTTCTTCAGTCTTGTAGTACAGACAGTGTGTTCTGAACTGACACTGACCTGGTCTTTAGGTGGAGCATTTTCACACCTGTGTGGCAGCTGGACTCACATGTAAACAAAGAATCAGCTGATATCATACATCATGTCTTCAGGATTCACTGGTCCAAGCAGAAACATGTAGTTTCTTCCAGATACAAGACAGTACGGTGGCCCACACAGGTCAATACAATGGAAAAGCAACAACACAAATGCAAATTGAGCCACCACAGAAGTGAGCAGCAGTCTGTCTATACTAATACTATAACAGCAAATATGAAAATGAGAAAAGTATAAAAAAGTGCATAAATATGAAAATATAAATACACTGAAAAACATTGCTCATTTGTGACAGTCAAATAGCAACATTAATCAGTTACCGAGCAACAACTTTTCACTTATTTGTCAAACTGCTTCAGAAACTTTCCCAGGAAAAATAATACAATCAGCTGATAGTGTCCAGATAACCGAGTAGTTTGGGCGTAAACCATTTCCTGAGCAGCAAGTCTACGGTTCGACTCCCGGCCTGACTTCTTGCTGCATGTCATTCACCTTCTCTCTGTCCTGTCAAATAAAGCCATAAAATCCCCTAAATCCACTATTGTTCCACGTTGCCGGGAGACTGTTATAGCTATTGACTATTTTTGTTTGTTTTTTTAGTTATTTTTTGGGGCACTGCTTCCTTAGGCTCAGGAGGAGGGAGGAGACAGAGAGGAGCTCAGGTGAGCAGGTTAGCTTCACAGAAATAAAGTTACCATGGTAACTGACCCAGAGTTAACAGACAAACTGAAGAGTTTTCACTGGACTCACTCTCACCTGTCGGCTGTTGTGTTCCGGCCAACAGGTTGTTCTGCCGCCAGTAGTGTAAAGTGGCCAGTAATCAATGGATGCAGCTTTACGTTGTTGAGTGTTGAGATCTGGAGAAATGTTGGTCATTATTCACGTTGCTAGTAAAACGATCCAGACTAATTACAGCTGAGCTTTCTGATGTAATCTGCTTTGTCCTGTGCTGTGTATCCCAGGCGTCCTCATAGATCCTGTTTTCATTGGTTTACTTTGGTGTCAGGAGAGAGAAACATACACATTCAGCCTCATTAAATTCACTGATCATGCCTCTGAAGATCTGGACCACATGACTGTTTCTCTTTCCCCTGTCAATTGGCTCTCAGTCGCTCACTGTGGGAGCTCCGGTTTTATTTCCTCTTTGTCTGCACCTCAATCACATTGATTGTATAAGTAGATAGAGATTTATCAGGGGAGAGAAAGAGAGGGAGAAGAGATGAGAGAAAGAAAGAGAGTAAGTGAAGAGGGGAGAGGCTTATCTGTATTTTGTCCTGAGACACAGAGAGAGGTGTGAAACATCGAGGCGGTGGGAGAGACAATAAAAGAGCAAAATCTCTTTGTTGTCAGAGCTGATTGATATGTTCAGTGGCTCCTTAAGTCACAGCAGGAAGTCGAAGAGGAAGCCGAATCAAAGTGTTTGATGTGAGCGCCGGAAGAAAAGTGATGTTCTGGAGTTTACAGCCCCATAAGAAACCATCAGTGGAACCACATCAAGCCCAGTCTGGGCCGACACACTGAGGGCTCTATCTTACACCCAGCACAAAGTGTCTGCTAGTTTCAGGCCAACACAGTTGTCATTTTCCCATCCAGCACCCACTTTGTTTAAATATCAAATACACTTGTGTCCATCTGAGCACCCATGGGTGTGTTGGTCTTAAAATGAGGTGTGATCAGGAGCATTGTTGGAGCATTGTTATCTTGTGACAGCAGAAAGTGAAAGTGCACAATTGACCAACCTTTTCTCTCAAGGTGCAGCTCACCTGGCTTTTAAACGCAGTCAGTAATTTCTGCCTCTAGGAGTCTCTCAATCAAAACAAGAACAAAAGACGGCATTGGATGACATCATGAAATAGCATGGGATCATGGGAGTTGTTGTCTTCACCACCCGGTTTGGATTCCTTCAGTGTCAGTGGTTCAGGAAATCAAACAGACCTGGTGATTTTAACCATTAAAAAAACTGAATGAAGCAGTTTGACATTTAAAGTCAGTGTTAGAGCGACGCTGTACGGAGGACAGAGACTCAGGGAAGAGTTGGAGCTGAGACTGATGCTAACCTTTGTTCTGATTGTTTCTCTGATAATTTATGAAGCAGACGTTCAGCAGGTTTTTACCAGCAGCTGAATTATCCACAGAGGTGTCCTCCTCTCCACAACAAACACACCAGGGGATTCAAACCAGTAGAAACACTGAATAAAGCAGTTTGACTTTAAAAATCAGTGATTTGTGGTGTCCTGGCGGCTCAGCTGCTCACCTGGTAGAGTGCATATCACAAAGGTTTAATCCTACCAGCAGCAGCCAGAGTTACAGTTCGACCCGTGGCCCACATCATCTCCTCTCCCTCTCCCCTGACTTTTCTGTCTCTCTCTCTGTAGCGATCTGAATAAAGGCAAAATGCCCAAAAAATAACTTTAATAGACTGATAGAGACTAGAGACTGCTTACCTTTGATTCTTTAATAAATTATGAACCAGTTGTTCAACATGTTTTCCCTGTTAGCCAAGTTATCCACAGTGATCTCCTGCTCTACAAATGGACCAGGAGAATAAAACAAGTAAACCAATAAAACAGTCCCACTTTTTAAAAAAATTAATGATTCATTCATTAAAAGTGGTAAAGGACTAAAGCAGTTTCACTTTTTTTAAAAATCAGAGATTCAGTGACACAGAACCGGACGTTTCCTCAGCTTGTTTCTCTGATAACTTCAGATCCAGACGTCTGATGTCTAAAATCCTTCATCTGGTTCAAATATAGAGCTGAAAACCACCAAGGTGTAAAAAGTGTATGTGGCTTCAAACTAGATAAAAGTCAATGTTCAGCTCCTGGCAGGCAACTACAATCCAAACCCATGCTCATAGAGGATATGATGTCATTGACAGAAGACCAAATGACACGGAGCGTTACCATATTAAAATTACGTATTTCTCTAGGTTTGTGGATTAGTGGAAACATTTAGGAAAACGTAAGTACACAACTCAAAAAAATATATAACATAGGTCTGGTCATTTTTAGACATTTTAATGTGGAAAGGATACAGATTATAACTTTAAAGGGAATGGGAGCTGCACTCTGATTGGTTTATTGCATGTTACGCTCAAAACATTCCCATGATTTATTAAGAGACTGACTACAACCCTTTTCAACCATGCGCCTGGAGGAGAAACTGTTTTTTCGACTGTTAAAATAGCAATATTCGAGTTGGACAGGTCCTGAATGCACTTGCTCCATGACCTTTATGGGGCTTTCAGACAGAACGCGAATTGCGCTCTCCGCTCAGGTCAGTGCACTGTTCGGGGGAGTCGTGGCAGACAGAGCAAACATAGGCAGAGTTTTCCAAACTTCCAGCGGGACACGTCACTATGAAGCGGGAAGCTCCCACTGTGTTTAGAGTCCATCCTTGCCAGAAACAAAGACGTAGCTTTCCCATGCTAAGAAGTAAGCATTAAAATTTCTCACTAAGTGGTGAGTTTGTTTGTTTGTTTGATGGATTATCTGTTTACCCAGTTCAATTTTCTTTATCTTTGTCTCCTTCATATTTACCCTCATCATGAGGTGATGATGTGGCGACAAGAGGTGAATGGAATGAAGTCCTAGAACAGGTGTATGTCATGGTTAGCTCTGCTCTGTCTCCGTCTCTGTCCCCTTCCACCCATGACACTATCCACGGTGCTGACACACAGATCACCACACACACAAAACACATATCTGTTCAGCTGTTCAGCTTAAATCTGCAGACAGACACACAAATTGACAGGTGGTGGACTTGTGGACACTCAGAGCACACTGTTCTGAAAGGAGCCATGTGTGTAAAAATGCAGTGCAGTTAGGAGCTGCAGTGTGGGTGACAAGGCTGCACTGTGTCCAGAGACAGCTCAGCTCTTCACCAAGTTCACATAAATCTCTGCTACAGACTCAAACCTCTCAATCAGCTCCTCGTCGTTGTAAATCTTCAGTGGATCGCTTCTGTCCCTAATAAGCCTCTCCTGTCTAAAAGCGTGTTGTTGTAAAATCCATAAATGAGGGATGACATGGTTTTCACAAGCTGTCTTGTCTAAAGTCGTTACTATAGAAACAGCCTAGATTTTTGATGTTACACCTGCTCCTGGCGAGGTGTTGGGTTTACGGCCTCAGTGAGAAAATCGGCTGAAGCCCAGATGGTGAAACTGGTGTAACTGTTAGGTTGGACTTAGAAACGCCAAGTTACGACACTCATCTTAAGACCAGTTGGTGCAACTGGCCCCATGCAGCACTCTCCTCCTCTCACAGCCTCGAACAGCAGGTAGAGCTTCTGCTGCGCCAGAGGATGAGGATGAGCTCATCCCTGTCTCAACAGGCAGTCCTTCAGTCCCA